CCGGGATTGGAATTCCGGACCCATCGCATGGAAGGTGTGTGCGTGTGCTACTACTCTGCCAACCAGTTCATGCCAGGGTTGAACAGAAGGGCCAAATCATGTTTTTTCGGATGTTATCTTCAGAGATAGTCAGAAGAGCTGAGGAATGTGCGTGGAGGTAAAGTCTTAAGTATGGTCAATTCTAATCAATCGATCAATATCAATTATCCCACAACACTACTCACCAGTAATTTTGAGTTAAATGCGAGTAGAGATTTGAATTTGAAACACATGAGTATGAAAAAAGACCGGAGCACGAGCTCATTGATCCTATCGTTACTGAAACACCATCAGCACCTACATGGCATCGATGTTGAAGAATTCACGAATGTAATTTGTTTGATTCGTCAATTCACTATACGGCAAACGAGAAAGTTCACTTGTCTCCGGAAACACTAAACGATAAGTGGTCTTCATAAGAGTTTTCCTATTGGCTCCGTGGATTATATTTAATCCTAAAAACGATGAGAATAATTCGCTTGGAACTATCCTGTGCGAAAAGCGGGATCGACTTGGAGCATACAAACATCACACTGCCAGCATCTCCGGGCACGAGATGTTTTAGTTTCAGTTTCAATTTATACAATCATCAACTATGCACCATCAAATGACCGTTTTGGTGACTATCTTTTGTTTGCCCACTTGGATAAAAAAACAGTAGATGTGCTACGCGGTGTAACTATTCAAAATTGCCTAAGACGAGTCAATCATCGAGCAGAAACGAGTACGTAGGATGCTTCACTTTCTCCCTATCTGGGTCCGAATTCCCGAGGAGATCGTGACATCCAACGGGCTGTGGATCGATATGATAGAGGAGAAATAGGCACAATCGATCGGATCAAGTATGAGCCCGTGAGAGCGAATGCGAAGATAAAAATGTGTATTTCCCTCCTCCCTTTGATCATGGTTATCAGACTGAGTCAAACGGAATTCCACTATTGTTCGGATTCACACTGTGTGCTGGAGCGGTTCTGGAATGTGGATCAGTAAAACCATGGGGTCAAGTAGGACGTTGGCATCATCTGATGGTGTACACAGAGTGATTGTTGAATCGTTCCAGTTTCATGAATCAGGTACATTTTTAGGGGAAGGAAGTAGTATATGGCACAAAATTAGTGCTGGGCAACAGGTCAATTTATCGTGAATCATCCGTTTCATGCACTCCCGGGATTCGATACCCCCCGGATTTGCAGAAGGAAGCAGCCGGCCGGCTCTTTTGCTGTCAGTCCTATAAGAGTGCACGGGTGGAGTTGTCTTGGTATAGCTTCCAATTGATGGCTTCTGACAGGAAATCACGCACATCTTATCCTTGCCCGAGACATAAATACGAGTTTGAAAGATATAATGTTATATCTCAAGTAAGTGAAAATGAGCTATGGAAATCACAACAACCATGAACTATTATGATCAACACTAAGAATATACTAATCAGGTTATTTATCAAGAATACTAGCAAGATTAAAAATTGTGTCGGAATTTAACAACTATACTCACATATCGCTCCATAAACTTTGCCAAATAGGCCGCCCAGATGTCGTACACGTTTGGCCAACGGAACAGAGCAACTCCTTTCTCGTAAGCCTATCAGAGGTCATAAAAGAAGAAAAATAATCCAGGATACGAGTTAACGATGAAAAAGTAAACACCTAAAGAAAGCCGTTCAGTACGAAACACAGGTGTAGGTTCAGGAAGCCTTATTCTAGGTTCTCAACCGCGCCTTGAATGAAAGATTCGTGTCGATAATGATCAATCCCCCAAAGGAAAAGACCATATCGAAATGCTACATGAATCACATTAGGGATGATTTCTATGCAAATCAACATGGTGCATGCCTTAATAAAAGCAATTTTTATACGGCATGGCAATCAAAGTTTGGTGTCGTGCCGAAGACACATAGGCATGCAATATTGCGATTTCTGTTTGTTATCCGTTGACGAAATGTGCTACTAACAAGTAGTAAGAATATATAACCATCAAAACAGCACAGAAAAAGTCCCTATCGACCTCAGCAAACAAAAACTAACATGAACCCGATGCAACGAATTTATCTAATAGTCTTATCTTACCTGATCACAAAAACATGCAAAAGTGTCAGAAAGGGATAAGAGCCTCAAACATTCAGTCAGTGACTAGTGAACAGTACTTGTTCAAGACCAATGATGATGCATGCGAACAAAGGCTTACCTTGAACGCCTCCTCGAAATAGTTCAACTCTTCCAGAAACAGTGCGTAATTCATGATTATCTGGGGAGTGGCGATTCGCAAATCAATCATTCGATCATACGCCGCCTGGAATCAAGCAAATGAGGATTTAGACAAACTGAGTGTGAAATTCACACGTGCAAGGCTGAGTGACGGTCAACTTCAATAAACAAGGGAACCAATTAGTATTCACGGTTCTAGGTCATTCAAAAAGACTGAATTGGGAATGAGATGAAAGGACTGGAAGGGTGATGGACGATAAATCAACTAAGCGACTTTCTCGGGACAGGCGAAGACCAGTTAATTGTGCCTCCTCCCGCCATGATTTAAATGAAATGAGGGCCATCGTCAAGCAATATCTAACCATGTTTGAAAATTCAAGGGCTAGGGACTAGCCAAGATCTAGTCTTACAGGACTAGGGGATGAGCATCAAGAGCTCTGCCTATTACAAGTCAGATTTGCAAGTGGAAAGAACATGCCACAATAAATCACATACAGGTATTGATCGAACTCGTGCAACATGACTCTGAAAAGAGAAATATTTCTCAG